ATACAGGGCGAGATCGCGTCGGCGCAGCACCTGGAGCGCGTGTGTGCCTCGGAGGATTGCCCAGCTACCATGCGCGTGGCGTTGATGGCGATTAAATCATCGGATTTGACGTTCACAGTCACTACATACGTCGTTTTCCAGGAGCTGAGAATCGCCCAGCAGCATCACTGCTGGGATCAAGTGGGCGTGTTTAAGCGGCTCTTTGGAGGAGAGATCCCCTCCAGCGTACAGAAAATGCTTAGCATCGACGATGAGACTGCAGCAGGACGCAAACAACCGCTGGAAGTGTAGGGGGCTACGCGTATTTATCTCCTTACGTAAATATCATGCTACGATTTTTCTGATTGAAATTTTAAAGAACTGAAATGTTAGAGAAGCTGTGCTATCATGTCAGCAATGGTTCCCACGAATCGTTGTGGATGAGGTCTTCATCGATCTGATGTCGTAACGACACTGTCATTGGATACCGGAACGCTTACTACCAAACGTTTGATACGCTACGTATACGTCCATTTCTGCGCAGAACATCGGTCACAGCATTGTTCAAGCGCAACTTTATTATTAGTGTCGATCAATTTTCTTTTGAATTATGATGGCATGGGGGATTTCTGGAAGTTTGTTATGTTTCCCCCTGCTCGCTCTTTGGAGATTATTAATATCCATGCTCTCCACGTTCTCACCAAGCCCACGAAAGCCTTTAGAAAATGACGCGAGATTTGAATTTGGAGCTTGCGTGTTGCCCCCTGCGAAGAAAGGGTTTGCCAAGCCCAATAGATCGAGTATCGGTAGGAAGTTCAGGTGCATGTACAGTAGATAGTAATAGTGTCGACGAAAGGATACCATCGCGTGCATGTTTCACTTTGAGCCTCGTTTGTTTGAGGTGCATCAAGCAGCTTGATTCAAGCTACATGTTGTATGATAACTTAGCATTGATAATCCTTACGTGGCGTTAAAGTCAAACGGTACATTTTGTTTCGACAGCAACATGCTGTTGTAGAGCCACATTCATCGAAACCCTCACACCAAAAACCCTCACACCTCATTCAATGAGGTGTATCCAGGATACATGTACTGTAAGCTAGGATACATGTACTGTAAGCTCTCGCGCTGCTGTACATGTACACGAAGCAAAACTCCACCACTGGCCATAGAGCGGGAGTGGAGCGGTGCCGGGCGAACAGTCCTCCAAAACTACAACGCGCGGCATCGTGCCAGAGAAAGACCTCTCACCGTAAATGTTACCTCAAGGTTGCGCCAATGTCTTTTGAAATTCATAATGAATGCCCTCCCACCCCTACCTGCGCATTACCTATTGGTCGAAAAGGTCCATCCGTCGCGTCTTTGCATGTATGCCGCACTTATTAATAATGGCCTATCGCCAAATCGCTAGACAGACAAAGTCAGTCAAGAGCGCCAAGCGCATATCCCCAACGTCAGAGAGCTCTCTCCAGGGACGTCCCAAGCCACGGCAACCCCCTCCGCCTAATACACGCCTTCCCCCCCGTAGCAGCCACAATGGACGGCGACTTCCTGCATGCGATCAATGGCGACTGGGACTCGCTGCTCACGATCATGCGCGAGAACCGCCAGGTAGCACAGCGCACGGACGCCAGCGGCATGACGGTATTGCACTGGGTTTGTCTGCACCAAGACGCACCCACTGATATCGTGGTCAAGGTGGTTTTCGCCAACCCATACGCCGTGCACATGCGCAATGACGCCGGCCATCTACCCATCGATCTGGCCATTCAGGCCGAGTGTGGCGAGCGCATCCTCGAGGTTCTACGCGCAGCCGCGCACGGCAGCCACCGCCCGGAAGACGACGGAGGTGAATTGCACCAACACGACCTCATGGGTAAGGACGACGGAGAGCCTACCACGGAGACTATAGACTACCATCTTCCGTACAATAACCATACCATCCTACACGACGATATCCGCGATGGATCAGACTACCTACCCCACCAGAACCACACGTACTACAGTGAATCCGAAGACGAAGTGGACGAGGACGAGCTCGAATACCAGCAACACCATCGACACTACCAGCCGCAGCCGTTTCAGCGTAAGGGGCGACTCGAGAGGAGCGTGTCGGACCAAGACTCGTTCTACGACCCACCACAGGGAAACCACGGTGGCGCTAGTATGTATAGCGGCTTTGGGGTGGGCCCAGATCGTGAACGCGGCAGCACTCTGTCACGAAGCGACCCGCACGTCAAGTCGTTGCTGACCGAGCAGCGTCTCCGTGAGCGAGAGAACGACCTGATCTCGATCGCGACTGCGGACGACTCGATGCCTCTGGGGAGATCAGTCCAACCTTCAACGAGTCAGTGCTGTTACGGCTCACCTTCTCTCTAGCAACCTTAAATTGCTGGAAGAGGTAGGAAACGTTTGTGAAGTCAGAGGCGGCAATCGTTTCAATTTTTTGTAGTAACTCGATAAGCCCCGATGCCATGTTCAGTCCATTTGCGATTTTTTTTTCTATGGCACGCCCAAT